TTGCCTCGAAATCTAGGGGGGGGGTTACGCCCCTCCCTGAATCTGTCAGGGGGTGGCGAATGCCCCCCCGCCCCCCCCCTGTGTCCGCCCCTGGATAAAATTACTGCGTTCTGGAAGAGTAATTGATAAACGACCCGGCAGCATTTTGTAACGTAATATATTGTGGTCCAGAAGATAAATTAATGCAGGTTGCCATCCTTCCCCCGTTGGGTAGGTCCTGCATCGTCGTAGTAACTTCAAAATCTAGTTTTACAACTCTTCAGTGACTTGAGTCCAGTGAGACAGTGATACATAAACAAAACTCATCTTTACCAGAAAAGGTATTTTGTTTGCTTAGAAGCATTTTTTATATTTTGTGCAAGGGGCAAATATGTTCCAGGAAATTGTTCAAGGGGTCAAAGGCGCAGCTGAAAACCCCCAGACCGAAGCCTAAACTTTACAGGGGGGAGGGGGGGGGCTGAGTTTAGCCCTCTAAATGCCACATCATATAATCCTGGAGTATTTGTGTTTCTTATGAAAGGGATAATATACGGAGAAAGGGGTTAATAGAATCAGAACATGTTGCATATACTATATTCCTGTGCAATTATGATATTTCTATAAAAGTGCACTATTATGTTCAGTGACAACAATTGTAAATTATAAATCTTTATCGTATTTCTTAATTAAAAAGAAAATCAAAGGCGACATTTATTCCAAAGTTTCTGGTTTACAAAGGGTTACCACTAGGTTAGAGACTTCAGAGACGGTTGTACAGAATTTGTTTATAGTCCGTTTTCTTGCATTTAGAGTTCCTAGTAGGTATAGGCCAAAACTGGCATATTTCTGTCCTTAATCATTCAGCAAATCATCACAATAATCAATTTATTGCAGAAACCAAAAATAAAGCATACAAATCGCCATATTTCTAGAGTTTTGGGTCGTCTTTACAGTCTCATCCTTTGTGGGTAACCCTGTATTTAAAAGCAAAAATACAGAAGCAATCAATATGCTTAGTGACAACAGTTGTAAATTATAAATCTTTATTTATTTTTAAAAAGATTAAAAACAACATTTATTCCACAGAGCAGATATTTGAAAGGAAACAAAATACAGGAACATTAAATAAATATATTAATTAAGCCTATTTTAGTTCATTAATTCTTGATTTTTAAGAAATTGTAAAAGTCAAAGTTTTTTTATTAAAATTTTCTACATTTTTCCAAAACACAACATCATTCATCTCTGAATAATTCTCCCCAATTTTTAAATACTAAAGAACAAAACAATGAAAATTGAAAAAAAAGTTGTAATCCACAAGCATGGAGAATAAATGCGTTGAATTTTGAACATTTCAGGAAGAAATTGTCCACCAATTCTTGAAACTACGCGGGCCGGCTTATAAAATTGGTTTTATTAACATTCAAATTTGATATTATTGCAAATCTGTTAATTTTTTTCAGATGGTTGCAGAAATATTATCTGGGAAAGAAGTGGCTCAGGTAAATGATAATTATAAAGAAATGTAGATATTCTTTAGTTGCTACCATTTTTTAATTTTTTAGTTGCTGCCATTATTCTTTTATTTTTCTAATATAAGTGTGATACTACAGTGAAAACCAAATAGATTATCAAGTACAATAGGAGGCTACAGAGAAATGAACCAATTATACACGACGTCACAAGTGTCAAATATAACAAGAAAAACTAAGTTTTCTCAATTTAGTTAACATGTACGTTTTCCAAGATTAAATAAAAAAGTGTAAATCAGAAAATTAAGAACACATAAAATTACATTATTTTACTGTAAGATAAGCACAATATTCTAAAATTATCACTATTATCAATAATTTTGTCGGACACAAAAACTAAGTTGACACTTGTGACGTAAGAATATGAGAGTGTACAAATTCTACGTCGCCATCTATTGTACTAGAAACTATTTTCCTTTAGTGACAACCAGAAAACTCCATGGAATAGGATGACAAATTTTAGACAAAATTATGGCTTTTAACAGTCTAATAAACATGAGACCCAGCAATTCTACAGTGTTAACAGTTAACAGACCCATTTGATTTTACAAGTTGCTTTGTAACAGCCTAAAAATATAAACAGTAAAAAAAGATAATTTTGCACATTTGGCCCAAACCTGACACTCAGTGTTTCCAATCTTTCCACCCCTTCCAAACCCTTTCTCCGCCATTAAATCTCATTTTGAAAAAACTTTGCCTTGCTTTTACAAAATCCTATGCCAATTATTCTTTCAGAGCAGTGCAGATATATTTGCAAAGGAACTCATTAAGTGGTTCACAAAAGTTTTAAAAGTTTTCCAATCATCGAAATCGCAATTTTATACACAGACCCTAATGATAATTTTTCTTTAGAGAAGAATTCATATTTTCAAAAACATTTCCCTCGAAAAAATAAACTTAGCTTCAAACACAAAAATCTAAACGCAAAAAAACTTAATGAATTAGTTTTAAGACACAAACTTTTTCTTTCTATTTTCTTGTAAATTGATATATTTCACATTACAAATGTATAAATATCGATAAAATACTTGACTTGATTTATTTTTATTTTACCTTTTTTTAACATATTACAACAATTATTTGAACAGCAATACAATAATATTGTAAACTAGCTGAATAAAAAAAATTGTTTTTTTTTTAGCCTATGTTACCATTTAGGATAATTATGAGCTCCCTCAGAAAATTTCAGTAAATTTGGTTCAGCCGTTTGGCCAGCTATAGCTGACATATAAATATATACGAACCAAGAGCTTCTAAAAAGATTATTTATAATTCTAGAATTTACATGAATTTAAATTCATGTCGTTTATGCATTGGAGTGTACATTTAGGAATTATCAAGGCATAAATAAATTTTTGGGGCAATTCTTAAAGAGACTGTAAGCGTAAATGATTATCGGCCTAACTCTCTTTTAAAGCGCAAAAGAACAATAAATGATTGACTTCTTTAAGAATTGAGTAAACAGAGAAAATGGGTGGGTTTTAAGGGAAAATTATATATCTACCCTTGAAGAAAAATACAACTAATTGGCGTAGTTTCTTTTTGGATTAATTATGGTCTGTGCTTTGTTTGGAGTTTTAGATAATTTTTTATTTTAAGACGACTTTACAGGGGCGTATACAGATATTTGTTAGGGAGGGAGGTGGTTCGAGGTTAACCTCAGGAGGGAGGTGGTTGGAGGTTAACCTCAGGAGGGAGGTGGTTGGAGGTTAACCTCAGGAGGGAGGTGGTTGGAGGTTAACCTCAGGAGGGAGGTGGTTGGAGGTTAACCTCAG